TTTGCAATGACGATGAAGCCAAAGCCAACAGTTTTATGACTGTTGCTCTTGCTCTGTTGAATGAGAAAACCAGCAAGGACTATCGAACGTGGTGGAATAATTGGTACCACAATGATCTAACTGAAACGGCGAGCTCACAGGCAAGTTTAATCTGCAACAGCAAGAAAGCTCTTTTGCCTCCGAAAGTTGGCTTCAGCCATAGTTTCCATGAAACCTGCTTCAGAAACAGAACTCTTGGAAACTATAAATGTTTTTAATTCCCAAAGGAAGAGAGACAACATTCGATCAGAATAACTTCATGATTGGCTTGGCTAATGGTCCCTGTGTGAATTGGTCATTTTCAGAAGTTTAAAAAATCCTAGACTGGCTTCCTTCTGGTGTCCTGCACATTTCTCTGCTCCCTTTGGGTGGAAATGTCTAATGCATTCTAACTAGTGTTACTAATTTGATAATGACTTCTTAAGTTCATCCCGTGTCACTATGCAAGGTGGGCATCACAGGAGGAGGGGCACAGTGTTTCTGTCCCTTCCAAAATTCATGTTGAAGCCCTAACCCTCAGTGTGACTATATTGGAACCTAGGGTCTTTAGAGAGGTCATTTAGGTGAAATGAGGTCATAGGGTAAGGCCCTCATCCTATAGGATCGGTATTCTTATCAGAAGAGACACCAGAGGCATACAGAGTTCTCTCTTTCTGCCCATACCACTCACTAAGGAAAGGCCATGTGAGGACACAGCAAGAAGGCGGCTGTCTGCAAGCAAGAAAGAGAGCCCTCATTAGAAACTGAATTTGTGGGCACCTTGATCTTGGACTTCCCGATTCCAGAACAGTGAGAAAATAAAGATCTGTTCTTTAAGCCACCCAGAACAGAATTGTGGTATTTTGTTACGGCTGCTGAGCTGACTGATACACACAGTCTATGATGTGACTGTTGCAGCCCAAGCAATGTACAGTGCACAGCATGTGCAACACGACCCTGTCTACCATGTCTTCTCACGTACATTATTTCAGCACGATGTTCCTCATAGCTCTGTGAGCTAGTGCTGTGATGTTGCAGAATGAGTCAGATAAAACCCATCACTTCCTAGCGGCAGGGCCTTGAGCAAGGGCCTCAATTTCTCTGAGCCTCAGTTTCCTCCTATAATAAATGTTTATCAAGTTGGTCAACTCCATTCTCTGCACCAAATCTAACAAGACTCAGTAGTGTTAAGCCTTTTTCATCCACCACGAAGAAACTCATTTCATGGTTTTTTTGCATGTGTTTGCTAATTTCTAAATGTTCAAAAGGAATAATTAAGTGTTGGTTTCTTTAATTGAAGAGTAAAATACTAGAAAAATGTCTGTTATTATTGTGGTAAAGGTTTTCTCTGCCTCCATGCCTGAAAATTTCACTTCCTTAACCCTCAAGTGTTTTGCTCAACTCCATGGTGACACTTCTAGATCTGTCACTGGGCGTGGGGCTAAAGCTGACCTCTGGACAGCAGAAGCTTCCTGGATGTCTCTTTGGGTCATTCTAACTCTGCTTTTGTCAACAGTCCCAGAAAAGTAAACAGAGAGTTCATGGATCAGATTAATATCAAGAATGGAACTCACAAAAATAATAGTCAGTAAGAAATCATGAGGCATCAACCCGTTAATAGTAATAAATAGTAATAATTACAATAATGACAGTAATTCAAATAGATGGAGACTAAGACTTTCAACACATTATCTCAGTAACTCTTTAGGTTAGATCCCACTATCCCCATTTTACAAGTGAAGAAACTGAGGCACAGGAAAGCTAAATATTAATAATTTTCCCAAGGCAAATTATTGGCAAGAAATAGCAGAGTAGGTTTGAAATGCTCCATGGGATTGATAATTATGCGGTGTCGTCTCTGCTGCAGAGTCCCTGATGCTTGTCAGGGACTCTGATGAGCTTTTAGTTCAGGTGGCTCTCTCTCCTATCCTCTTGGGCAAGTAACACCACCAAAGAGACCTGATGTTGGGGAGGTTTCCAGATACTTCTAAGTGATATGCAAGCGTGATTTCCATTAGCAGAAATCCTCCTGAAACCATTCTGTTGGATAAAACCAATCTGCATGGTCTTAATTTAAAAATATAGAAAACACCCTTCCAAACTGTTTGAATTAACACTAGGATTAACGAAGCCAAGTCTGCATAACCAGCCCCCAGAAAGACAGAATGCTGTCTCCTCAAGTCTAAGTGCTATGTAATCAATAATCTGCAAAGCAAACAGAGATATAACCTGTTCTCCAAACAGCAAACAAGCAAAATTCCAAGAGGCTGGGAAGGGGGCAAATCATGTGGAGAAACTGCTCCCTGCTTCTCCCCTTCTGAAAGCACTGGCTGTTCTCAGGGGCCCTTAAACTCATTACCTGCCTGCAAGTGCATAGCAGATGCCAGTAGCATGAAATGAGCTCTGGATGCTTCTACAAAGTGGCAGCCACACATCCGAATGTCCACAAAGTTTGCACATGACAAGGAAGGAAAGGGGGAGGGGGGTAGCTGAGGGAAGCTTTTAGCAGGTTTGTGGATCGAGAGGATCGGCAAAGAGAAGGGAGTAGAAAATATAAGGAGAGAGGAGGGAATCGATAGAAAAAGGTTCAGGACAAGTGAAAGACGTGCTCCAGTGCTTAAGACAAAGAATTTACAAGGGGGGAGATGAGCAGCATTTATTTATTAGAGATTAAGAATGAAGATGAGTGGAAATGTGATTTTTTTTTTTTTTTTAATGTAGAGAGGAAGATATCTGTGTCAGATGGCCTCGATTCTCTCAGAAAAGGAATGAGAGGGTTCAGGTGTGGTTGAAGAAAGATTGAGGAGTGTGGAAAATGTTTAGGACCAAAAGTCAATCAGGAAGGGCTAAAAGGATTGCCAAGCAGAAATGACAGCAGCACTAAGCTAGAAGGGCATGATTTGTGGCAGACTGGCCTCCACAGCAGAGGACACTGCCACTGAGCTGGGTCAGGCCCTCAGACCTGACTTTCAAACTGAAACCTATCCTTCTGTGATCTCTCCAGGCTTCTGTGATTTATCTACCCTTTGCTTGCAAGATAATCCAAGGTCCTCACAGTGACACACAGGCCTTTCCCAATCTGGCCCCCACTTAAGTCTCTAGCATCATTCTTTGCCTCCTGCCATATTGAACTGACTGCAGTTCCCCCAGAGCCCCAGGCCCTTTCAATGCTTCTGGACCTCGGATCACAGGATTCCCCTTTAACATTTTTTCTTTTGAATGTCTGGAGAGCAATATTCATTTTTCAAAAGGTTGCCTCCTCCAGGAAGCCTTCCAGGATCACCTTAAGGCAAAACCGATCACTCAGTCTCTCCTTTTGACAGCCTATCTGTTCTGCCCTGTAGATGCTTACTAACATCACATGGCACTTCATAGCTCATCAATTCTACAATGCACTTTTTTTCACATTTTAAAAATCCCTGAAGTTAGCAAGGCAGGTGCCTGTAGTCCCAGCTACTCTGGAGGCTGAGGGAGGAAGGAGAGCCCAGGAGTTTGAAGTTGCAATGTACTGTGATTACATGTGAGAACAGCCATTGCAATCCAACGTGGGCAACATAGCAAGACCCTGTTTCTTTAAAAAAAAAAAAAATCCCTGAAATTAGGATGTAACGTATAATGAATAGTGTATCATAGTTTAATTCACAGGATTTTAAAAAATTTCTTGGTGGTACCAAAAAAAAAAAAAAATCCCAAAAGGTACATCCTATGAATACATTGGAGAGCAGTTGGTGAAATTGAGCTTCCTTCTGTAACTTTCGTGTAGAAGCGCTTCTCATCCTGGTTCCCCACCTCCATTTGGCAATGTCTGGAGACATTTTTGGTCCTATCAACTTGGGGCAGGGAGCATGCTGCTGGCACCTAGCGGGCAGAGGCTGGGGACATGGTTCCACATCCTATAATACACAGGACACCCCCAACAGCAAAGAATTAGCCAGGCCACGGTGTTGCTAGTGCAGAGCTTGAGAAATCCTGGCGTAGAGAAACAATACTGCTTTGGGTGTATAATATGTATTATCATGTTTGATTTTAAATAACTGTTTTACAGTGTACAGTGCACCTCGACATACAGCAACTTTTTGCAAACCTTGGTTTGTACAGCAGGAATAGCAACTCTTGAGAAGCGCCTTAAGCTTTTCTCATCAGCCCTCCCTAACTCCCTTCTGCTAGACTCCCAAGGGGAATAAAGCAATGCTCCTGGTCAAAATGTGAAAGCCAGAAGGTCGCAAAGAGATTTGTGACCTTAAACCAATTAGGTTGGTTAATGGCAAGGCCAGGACTGAAATCCAGACGCCCAGATTTCCTGGACCCTACTCAGCCTGGGAGGCAGCTGCTCTGTTCCCTGGCTAAACTGGCTAACACACTTTGGTACCTTAAGAGGAAATGCGCCCGCCGCATATGAGCTGGGTGACTTAGCAAGAGTTTAGTATGAGTATTCACGCTTCAACACCCGGGACCCACCCGGTTCTCAACCCACTTTATGAGAATTTAGGTTGACTCTATAAGGCCCCTGAGCTCTAAGGGGAATTGGATTTATGCAAAAAGAATTGTGATTCATGCATGTGAAGGCACTTTAAATAAATGTAGATGATTTCATCATACAAAAGGCAGAGGGGACTCTGGGGGCAGGGTTATTAATTTGGAAGGGCGTGGGGGGAGCTGTCCTCCATCCCTAGAAGCTGCACGTGTGGAAAAGGCCTTCGGCTAGCGCAGGAAGCTGATTTATGTGAGAGGGAAGGGAGTTCCAGAGCAAGGTTTTCGCAAGGCCCCCCTGCGTCTGGGCTCTGCAGTCAGGCAACCCCCCCAGGTGGGTCTGGAAGAGTCCCCAGAGTGTCACCTGGCCCCCTCCTTATCCCCTCAGAGCTAAATCACAGTGGGCAGCTGCTCTCCGATCCTGTGGCCCCACAGATCTCCATCCTGGCCCGGCAGCCCCGCCCTGCGGGGGGACCCCGCGCGCCACAGGGGCTGGCGGGGGGCGGACTCACCTTCAGGTGGATGGGAAAGGAACGCTCCTGCTGGAGGGGCCCCAGCAGCGTCTGCTCCACGCTGACCAGCTCCGAGGTCGAGTCCACCACGCGCGCCAGCGCGCTGCGCATCGCCATCCGGGCCAGGGTGCAGGGCCCGCGGTCCCGGGGAAAGGGCAGCAGCTCCGCGCCCCCCTCGGCGCCCCGCACCACCTCCACTTCAGGGCAGCTGGCCCGCGCCCCGGCACCCCCATTCCTGCCCCCCACACCCCCGCGCCCCTCCTCGCGCCCCGGCCCAGGCCGAGCCCGCAGCGGGCCTGAGCGACGGGCTGGGACGGCCAACACGTGATCCGCGTCCCGCGGGCTCGCAGGGGTGCCCGGACCATCCCCCCAGCCCCACTCCTGCTGCAGTAGCTGCAGGGTCTGCAGAGCTACCATTTGGTGGCTGATGGAGGCCACTAAGGGCGCGGGGCTGGCCATGGCCTCCGCCCGCTGCTCGGCGTGCTCGGAGTGCAGGTGGAGCGGTGCGAGAGAGGCGGGGGCGCCGGGGGTCGCCAGGGTCACATTTTTTAACCCGCGGCTCCGCGGCCACGGAATCTCTCAGCCTGTGCGGCCGGCCCCGCCCCGGCCCTCAATCAGTGGCCTACGATGGCCCCTGCCCTGGCTCGGAAAGTCGGAATCGGCTTGTTCTGACCCGGGGGCTGCCTGAAGCGCTCCTCGGTGTGCACTTGAAAATAAGCCAAATGCTGAGCGCTGCTTCTTCCTCCTCTCTAGGGCTTTGATGGGGAAACGTGCTGCTTTGTGCGGACGCATCAATCAGCAGGGATACCCCGCCCCCATCTACTTCGAGGGATGCCTGCCAATGACCACTTAGGCCCTGGAGCTGGGGATGTGAAAGACCCACCCGGGGGGTGAAAGTGCAAAGAGCCTTAGAAAAACTCACAAAAGGAAGACTGTGCCAGATTCTCCTGTCCCGCCCCCTTCCCAACCCTAGGGGAATTTTCGGAAATTTCCTGGGGCAGCCTTCAAGGCCTTGCATCCCCCAAACAAAACTAGAAGGACTTGTCTCAAAGTTCTGCTCTTCTCCGCTTTGTTCCACGCCCCGTGTGCACCGAGGGCCTAGCCACTGAAGTGGCATCAGCGTGTCGGGCGCGGCCTGCCCCTGATGCCCAGGCCTGGCACTGCCCACGTGAGAAGCCCGAATGGTTTTGTGTGAAACTCCCAAAGGACTTAGGCAGCACGGTTAAAGCTAAATCCTTTCATGAGCCATGAACCCAGGGACAGCTGTACAAATAGTTACTGGTTTTAATTAAACCTAACATGGCTACTTTCCAAACTTAGAAAAAAAAAAACTGGGACTGGCAATATTATGCTTTGATAGATTGGGAACCATTGGGATGGGATCAGACTTAAGAAAACAGACATTTGAGAGGAATAGTATGGAGGTCTGTCCCAGAGTAGTATTATTTCTGCTTTCTGTCTGCAAGGAAAACCCTTAGCTAATCCCATGGCCCAGTAAAGCAGGAGTAATGGTGCAAGCCCATGAGAGACAGGTGAGCCCCGGCAGACCCCGAGGATGGGATTTCATTCTTCCTTTAGAAGCAAGACTCCACCCTTGGTGCTGTGGAGTAAGATCTGGACAGACCTTTGAGTGGAAAAGCCACTCCAGTGAGTCTGTTAGAACAGAAGGATGATCATGAGAGAGATGGAGAGGGATGTAGGGTCCTTTAAGGTTTCTATAACTCCGGGACAGTATGACCCCATATAATCCTCCCAACTCTCCAGCAAAGGTTCCTTCTTGTTCTCTTCTCACTGTTTTCTTCGCCTATGAAAACAAACCTGAAGGCCAAGGTAAAGAAAACCTTTCTTAAACAAAAACGAGCATGTTCACACTAATTATAACTAAGTAAAAATGCATGTCTGTGCATTGACAGAGGGGAAATTACTTTGGAGGGAAGCAAATAGTTTAATGTTGATTAGATTCTCTTGCCATGAACTTACTTGCATTCATAATAAAAAATAGAGAAATTTTTCTCTTGTTTTTTAATCCTCAAATGTTGAAGTGCATTAGGTTCAGCAGAAACTAACCAGAAATAGCAAAAACTAACCCGTGATTTTCACAGAGCATTTCAGATCTCCAGGGCTGCTCCTCTTTCCAGATACACAGGAAACCCAGTTTCATGGGCTAACCCTTCCACTATCAAATGGCTGACTGAAAAACTTTCTTGACAGATGGAATTCCAGCCAACGGCAGAATTGAAATCACTAGACACAGCCTGACCTGAGGCCCCACTGTTCCACAGACCAGGCTGACTCAGAGCTGTGAGACCAACTGAACCTCAGGAGGTACGAGAGAAGGGGCCAGAAAACCTTGAGTCCCGAGGGATGGTATATGCTGCTTTAAATAGCAGCCTACTTTTTCTAGTATCCTTAGGGAGCACTGGATCATCCAGCAACTCGATGCTTTGTCTTGGCCGTGGGTCACACTGTCCTTTGCTATGATCTTGAAATGGCTTATGTTTCAAAGCCATTTTCATAGGCTGTTGAGATGAGTCAATAGCATAGCAGATCCACCTTTGGTCTAAAACACCTCTAAAGTTATGCATGCCGGGCTACCAGAACAAGTGACAAATTGCCTGCTCCTTACCCACTATACTCACAATTTGAGGCCATTTGTATAATAAAAGACACATTCAAAAGGACAAACTACTGGACATTCGGTGTTTTTGTTTCACAGCATCTATTTCACCATTTTATGGAGACCATACCCTCATTTCTCAGGGGATGGTCCTCTTCTTCCACACTCAGTCCCTAAGATCACATAGGATGAACCCATCCCTCTGCAGAAGGGAACTGGATCACCTAGGCTGAGCCCATTCCCACATCGCATTCCCACAGCGAATGGTCAGGAATGGGCGCATGACCCAGCTGGAGCCAGTGCGACGGTATCATTTAGGATACTTTTGGCTGGACGCACTGTAAGAAACAATGGAACCAAAGCATACAGGCCAAACAAACAAACAAACAGAAGCCAAGAGATGAAATAGCAATAAAGATCAAATTCCTTTTTAACAAGAAAGCTCAGCATAAAATAATTTAATCAATGAGTGATTTATTGTGTCATATCACAAAAAGTCCAAAGGCAGGGTGACTCCAGGGTTGGTCAATGCAGCAGGTCAATGGTCTCATCAAAGCCTTTGGTTCCTTCCACCTTTCTGCTGTGTGGTCCCCAGCACATCAGCTTTGTCCGTGGTCTTTGGGCTAGTTCCATGGCCACTAAATAGCTGCAGTAGCTGCTGGCATCACATCTAGACAACATCTGGAAGAAGAGGCCATCTCTTCCTGTGCATTCATTCTCAAGAGCAAAGAGACATTTCCCAAGGGCCTTCACCTGACTTTCTCTCACATATCCTTGGCCAGAATTGTGTCACATGTTCTTGCCTAATCAATCACAGTCGTGGAGTCTTGGGTCAACCAGAATTCACTCCAAGCTAGTCTGGGTCTAGCCTCCCTTGAAGCATTTGGTTGCAGGAAGGATGGAGAATACTTGATACGAATCAAGGTTTTGTTACCAAGTAACAGCAATGCCAGCAGAGCACAAGGAGGCTTTTGCAGGGGCTGCTGGGTAAAGAGCATATGCAATTTCCAGAGCTGCTCCGCTTTCCAGATACACAGGAAATCCAGTTGCATGAGGCTAACCCTTCTACTATCAAATGGCTGACTGCAATGACTCCTGTGCAAGTCAAGCTGAGAAGAGATAAGTTTTGGAGCTTCTGCAGCCATCTTGTGAGTTTGAGGGGAGAGCCTGCCTATGAATGAGCCAACACCCATGACAAGAAAACACCAGTGAGAGAAAAGCCAACAGGTGTATATAGAGAAAGCAGCGGCCTTACAGCACCATGTGGGCCTCCCGTTTAGCAGCACAAGACAACCCACCTCTGTGATTTTTAGTTCTACAAGCCAATAGTCTCTTTCTGTTTGAGCCACTTTAAGTTGGGTTGACTGCCTCTTGCAACAGCAAGAGTCAGAACCGAAGCAAACAGCATGACATATGTTACAGGAAAGACAGCATGTTAATGGAGTGACCCTGTGACCCAGTGCCCCTTAGACAAAGCACTGCTAAAAGGTCCCTCCCACCAGCTACTTCCAGCAATGCTTTTGCCATTCACCTAACCTTTCTACTATTTCAGCAATTGTGGGAAAAGCTCTTTGAGCAACTCTGATCGTTCTGACAATTGATAGGAGCATTTAAAAATGAGCACTGGAAACACTCAGACCCCTGCGTGATGTGGGATGGAGGAGGGAAGGGCACAGAAAGCTCACTGAAGTGAAAAGCATTTTTCCACCTGTTAACAGAGGAGGTAGAGTGTTGTTAGGTAAACAAGTATTCGGGCACTTCTTTTAATCCAAAATTTCCTTTCCCGCGTGAGCAAAAGACGCAAGTTCCTGTGTGGAATCATGGAGAAGCCCTGCACGGTGAGAACAGAAGGGAACTGGCAGAAGGTACAGCTATGGGAAGCCTTCCTCAAAGGACTTGGGCAGAGCCCAGATACCTTGGAGCCCTGCTTATATTCTTTGGCACTTTTCTCTAAAAGGGATCCAAGAGAATTCCAGAAATAGAGATGTTAACCTTCAGCGCACCCTGGTGAAGTTCACAGGTAGGGGCAAAACAGAATATGTCCAGAGACACCAAAGAGTTATTGTTCTTGAATGAAAATTATGACTGAGGAGAAACAGATGCTGAAGAGATATACCAAGATATGAAAACGTACTGTGAAAGGGAAAACAATGGAACTAAGAAAAGGTGTAGACCCAAGAAAGAAAGAGCAAAAAAGCTCAAATTCCCTTTTTTAAACATACAATTGTAATGTTTGAATATGCCAACTCATAAAAATAAACATACATGCCGTTCTAACTTTGGCCTAAACATTTGATTTTCGCGGGGGGGATGATGTAATACTGCCCCCAAATCTCTGAATTGCCAAAAACAATTGTCTACATAGGACAGTGTGTTTTCAGGACATCATATATGTGCTGCCTTCCCACATCCTATGAAGGTGGTGAAGCTAAGTGAAGCTAGTTAGTGAAGAAAAGTAGGGAACAGTGGGTAAAGGGAGGGAAAGGAGAAGTTGAAAATGTTGAATCCCACCTGCTGCTCCAGAGGTAATCTGACGTGCTTTTGCTCCCTTGCAATTTGACTCCTCAATGCAAAATGCAATTCTTTCTGGACATATAAATCATTTTACTTGGTTCTGTCTTAATAATCTGTTGTTTGGTTTCATCTTAATAATCAGTTTATTTTCAAGAGGCATTCCTGATATTGGTGGATAAAGAAATCAAAATTGGATTTTAAAAGAGTTGATACAATTTTTTCTAATTGTTGTAGCTTTGGTAGATGGTTAGTTTTTAAGAGTGACAGAACGCAGTGGATTTTCATGCTGCCTACTCATAATCTCAACAGAACAGCCTTGCTGGATTTACCCTCCATTTCTGATTATAAAGTCTAACCCCTGAAGGATATCCTTTCCCTTGGAGGGAAACATTTAAAAGCTCCTGGATTTCTTCAACTATTTTGATTATCTGTGTAGATATGGCTTATATAGTATTGAAATGTGATGGGAAAGGGGGAAGAGTATTAGTGATAAAAATGGGGGAAGGCAGAAATGCAGGAAGTGTTGTAATTACGTTGCAAACTAAATTCCAGGATCCTGAACCTTAATGAAAAAAATGTGACCACCTTATCACTTTCCGTGATCACCCTGTATTTTCAAGTT